AGAAGCCTGTACGCTGGAAGTGATGCAGCCATAGCTGCCCAGCGAGTTAGCATTAGTAACAGAGGGTTAGTATGTAGCTATGAGTAGTATCCAGAGTAGATCCTCATGAGTGAAGAGTGTGTATGCATCGTAGGAGAAAGGGACTGAGGCTGAGAGTGTTCATTCAAGGTTCGGCTATGGAAGATACTTACCTAGGTTGGATGTGACCTGCAGAGGTGGCGCTGATGAGTAGTGACCACATTGATGACTTGGAGACTATCTGCAAGAGTAGCGCTGATTCAATGGAAGTCATATTGATGAGTTGACAAGAGATTGGTGTTGCACTGATGGGCGCTGGACTCAGGGAACTTTGAAGCACTTTGTATTCATATTTCTGACAATATAAGCTGTGAAACTCGGTCCCCTTCTTCTCTACCTTTGTCTATGGTTGAGACTATTGATCACTGCGTGTGAAGATGATGCATGACATGTACACATTTGCGTGAGATGGTCCCCAGGACCCATGCAATTTTGGTATCGGAGCAGATGCTCGCTACACTCATAGCGCTGGTCTGATCATGGTCAGCGAGAAGAAGTGGTGATGGAGGAAGAGTGAAGGAGGGAGGAAGAGAAGAAGGGTTTTGATAGTGGGGGAAGCAGGCCGAAGAAGAAGTGGCGAAGTCTACTTACCTGGAGCGTGCGGAGCGTCGTGGAGCATCATCGGCGGTATCTTCAAGAAGAGAGAAGCACCTCCTTTCCCTGAACCGGCATGCATGTGTGTGTCCCCTACCTTCTCTCTCTCTGACCCTCTGAAGGTGACTGCTGCTGATCTGGTCAGGAGTCGAAGTCTGGATCTGGGTTGTCATAGATGTCAGGTCTGAGCCGTTAGAGTCTGATGACCCAAGTGTGATGTGTCAGGAACTGGTCACACTAGAGTAGGTGGTCCAGTGTTCTGCGAATAGGAGTAGGTCTCTCTCCTATCCCTCTTGATAGGCAGGCTGGGTATCGTCATCAAGAAACAAGAATCGATGTGGGAGGTGGCTATGTGCCACGTCAGATAGCATGTACCAGGCAACATAAGGATGATATTGAGCATCTACAGGGCCTGTTAAGCCCAAGAGAAAGAAAAGGGTATACGAAGTATCTCTGCCTGGGTGGGTAAGTGAACCAATTGCATCTGACTTCTTTGTGCTACACTCCATATCTGCACCAAGCAACCAGCCAAGTTAATACCAAAAAAAAAAAAAGAGAAAGCAAGACAACAGAAACACATTACCAAAGTTCGATCCAGGAGGCCAGACAGCACATCAAAAATAAATAAAATATATATATATATCGTCAAATAGAACTGCCCGGTAAACCGTAGGCAGAGAGGGAGAAGTATATATATATATCGTCAAATAGAACTGCCCGGTAAACCGTAGGCAGAGAGGGAGAAGAGGACAACAAACGAGGGGCTGTGACAAACTGTTT